ATTGTACCGAAAGTTATCCCTACTCTCACAATGCACGCGAGCTCCATGTGAATAGAAAAATTCCAAAATGTGGTCCCCACCTCCTATTGTGAGTAGTAGGTAAAACTTTAGGTAAAAATTTTAGGTAAGTGTAGTATTGTCCTTACGGGTAATGTTAGGTTAAGGGTAAACTGGACCTTTGAAAGCTTATGGACAAATTTGTGGCTGATTTTGAAATCCGTCGCCTATAATATACGCGTTCTTTCTAATTTGCGAGGTTGTTTTCAATCACTTGATTCTTGCTTGATTTTGTTTTGGACAAAATAGGCCGACGTGGTACACAGCATGGATCTTTTTTTAGCTTATTTTATAATGATCCTTCCGCCACGTGGCAATGTGATATTCTAGTTTTATTTCTTAATTTGAGACAATCATTATGAAATAACGTGTTTTGCACTTAGCTTGCTTTCTATTAGCTTTCTAATGGCAAAGTAGTTCGCCATTTGTCGTACTTCTAGTGAGAGCATATCGCTCGTTGGGGGAGCAAATCCCCTCAGAGATAGTGGTGACAAACTGGCCGAGCGGTCGCTCGGCTCGTGGGCAGCTTGGGCTCGTCGATATGCTCGTTGGGGGAGCAAATCCCCTCAGAGATAGTGGTGACAAACTGGCCGAGCGGTCGCTCGGCTCGTGGGCAGCTTGGGCTCGTCAAATGACGAGCACAAGCCGAGGCGGAGGATTCATCCTTTTTTTAAAAAAAAAAAGTTTATCTTTAAATATAAAAAAATGACGAGCTCGCGAGCCGAAACTCGGCTTGACCCACTATTCGAGTGAGTTATGCAAAGGTTCGTAGAACATTTTGGGATGTCCCATGATGATGTGGGTGTTTACTTGGCCCTACTGGCAGATCTAGAAATTTAGTTGACAATAGTTAAAAAAATATTCGATTTTCAGAGATAAATTGGAGGAAGATGCACAGTAGGAATTGAATGTTGATTTTTTATCATTCATTAAGAAATGTTATTTCCATACTTATTAAACTCGAACCGGACCGGCCGGTTCGATCCGGAACCCAACCTCAATGAAAAACCAATGTGCAGCCGACCCGTTTGTAACCCAAAGGACCCGCCGTTTAATGGAAAAACCGTAGGCCCAATTGTGTAGAAATCGCCCGGTCCAAATGCTTCAGTTAAAAACCCAAAAGCCCAATTTATATTCGTTCACAGTTTCACTCATAGTTGTCAGACCCGACCTGGACACTGACTCGGATAATGCAACGGGTCAGCGGGTCAATGGTTCGACCGGTAACCCGGTGGTTGGACCGGCGGGTCAATTCT